CATGTGCTACCATGCCTGGCTGATTTTTTGATTTATTGTAGAGATGAGGTCTCGCTACCCAGGTGGGTCTTGAACCCACGGGGTCAGGCAATCCACTCACCTCAGCCTCCCAAAGGCGCGGGATTACAGGCTGAGCCACCGAGTCTGGCTTGCAGGTGTTTATTTTAAACTGCCAGCACATCTCAATTCAGACTAGTCTCATTTCAAATGCTCAATAGCCATATATGGTTGGTGACTCATATTGAACAGCAGAGCCTGAGGACTGTTAGGAGGATTAAAGATCGTGCATCTCCTTTAGGAGATGCAGGAGATAAAGCACTTAGCACAGTATCCAGCAGGCAAAAAACACAGAAAATATTAGGCCCTCCTTCTCCTACCTCTGTGCCCCTGATGGTTTATATGTCTGGACTGACAGTGAACACCCTACCTGCCTTCTTACTTCTCTTGCAGAAAACACAATGAGGGCACTTACCACCATTCTGAGGAAGCCACCAACATCTCTGGCCAAAGTTACTGTAGTACCTCCCCAAAACAGTACCCCATCATCTGCTCATACTCCCTCCACTGAGTGGCTGGAATGCTTTTTTAAAAGATACAAAGGTGGCATTCACCTTCCTAAAGTTCTGGAGCAGTGGTTCTTAAGTCTCTTAAAAATTATCAAGGACTCTAAAGAGCTTTTGCTTAAGTGAGTTATAACTGGCAATGTTTATCTTACTAGATTAAAACTGAAAAAAAAATTAAAACGTAAGAATACACAAGCACCCATTCCACTAGTGAGAACCATAGTGTCAACATGTATCATGTAGCTTCTGGAATACTCCACTGTATATTCTTAGATAATGATAATGAAAAAGGCAAATAACATCTTCATCTTGTTAATCAAGTCTTAATCTCACATAATCCCTGAAATAGTCTCAGGGCCCTCTGGGTCAGAGGCTACACTTGGAGAACCGGTCCTCTTGGGCCAAATCCATCCTTCTTACCCTGGCCTGTGTGTCCCCCACGGCAGAGCCACTGCCTCCTCTCTGTGGTCACAGCCCTCCTCTCTGTGGTCATCACACTGTCCTTCCCTCCAACGAATCAAATGCCTCCTGCCTGCCTCCGGGTGCTAGCGCTGTTTGTGTCCCTGCCTGGTCCACCCTCGTCCTCTCCGGGTCCCTGACCAGGTTGGCCTCGTCATGCCCCTCAGACCGCCGCGTGCCCTTTTTGTGCGGTTCACCTTAGTAGTATTTAAGTGATTGTGTGAGTTGTTAAATGCGCCTCCCCCTCGGACTGTGAGCTGCTCGGGGACAGGAAGGAGCCTGTCGGTCCCCGGCGGTGTGCCCCGCTCCGGCACGCGGCCAGTGCCCCCTGGAGGGCGCTCATCCACTAGCTGCTGGATGCTGGATGAAGGAAGCGGCGACGCAGCTTACGGACAGCCAGGACAGTCGGCCAGCCCGATGGGGAAGGGGCCTAATCGTGTGGAAATAAAGTTGTGTTCCAGTGCCGCCCACCGAGTCTCTCATTCCACCTCTTTCCACGCACGATTCTTCTTCCAATCTCCTCTGGTCCCTTCCAATGACCCCGGCCTCCCAAACGCCTCGGAGACATCCAACCTCCCGTTGAAGCAGTCCGGGGTCAGCAGCCACTAATGGCTCATGAGACGTCCTCGAGGAGCGGACTCTCCCAGGACAGGGCGACCGCAAGCGCGCAGACACCCCAGCGCCGGAAACCCCGGGGCGCCGAATCTGAAACCGGAAGAGGCGGCTTCCTGCCCCGCCCCCTCGGAGAGGCGGTGGCTGACGGCTCCTCGGAAAACCCGGATCGGAGTTTAGTCCGCTACTCTCGTGGGCTGGTGTGGGGAGTTTAACCCCGCGTGGGACAGTAACAGGGTCTCTCCCCACCTAAAACTCTTCCCGTGGGAGTTTTAGTCTTGTTCTCGGAGAAGGGGAATGCCAAATTCTGCTCCTGCCTTCCCCCGGGGGCTGGAGACTGGGATCTTTATCCCAATTCAGTGCGGGGCGACGTGGGCTCCAGAATCTCCGCGCGGGAGGCCGGAGGACAGAGGAGCTGGGGACCCGAGCTCCTGGGTCTCAGCCCCCGGGCATCCGGCGCTCCGCTAGTCAGCGGCCCTTGGCTCCTGTCCTCACTTCCTTCCCCTTTTGGCTCCTGCTCGCGGGGGAGCGGAAAGGGCGGGAGGGCCCAGAAGCCCGGCGTGGGGGATCGGGGGGTGCGGAAAAGTCGGGGAGGGGACTCCGTCCGGGTCCGGAGACCGGCAGGAACAGAGGCCCGGGACCCACGCTGCCCCCACCCCGCCCGAGCAGGTCAGAGCCTGAACACCCTGTGACCCTGCCCGTTCCGTACGCGTGACCCCCTCACTCCCCAGAAGCACCAA